AGGACTGGTGGAGGGAGGCAGTAGGGAAGGTTTGTGCCACCCAGTCATGGCGCAAGCCACAGGAGAGTTGGTGGAGGTGGCGCCTGCGCCCGGGCAGGTGATCTGCAAGGCGAAGTTTAAAGAAAGCCCCCCCAGTGGCGCACAGTGGCAGCGGAGCTGTTCACTGTCACTCCCCCGGCTTCAGAATGGTGGAGGAGGACTGGGCCTACCCTGCCCATCCCATCCACCTTAGCATGGCAGTCCGACTCGTGTTCTGGCACCTTTTTTCTTACAAAAAAGCACTGGTTATTGCCATATATATTTGTAGATCAGCCAAAGATTTTAGATGCCGAAATACATAAAAAATTTAATTTGGCTTATGTGAGAAGGGGCTTATCTATTAGTATACATGATAAATTTTTCATTTTAACTTTTAAAAGTACCCATATATTCCATATATACTTATGAGCAAGCACACCCCTTAATTTTAAAGCAAGATATCATGAAAAATATGCCATCTATGCATAAGCCAATTTTGAAAATTAAAACATACAAACATCTAGAGGGTCAGCTTATCTGAAAATGGAACATTTTTCATTTATTATACAAATGTTTACAGCTTCCCAACTCATTAACAGCGATTCTACAATACATGACTGACAAGATTAACATTTTAAATTGTGTTTAATTTTTTAGAAAACCTTTTTAACATTTTTATTTTTTAAAATCTTTATCATTAAAATTTTGTTGGCATTTAAATTTTTATAGTATTTTGATTAAAAATTTAAGGGTCAGCTTATCTACAAATTGGCTTATACACAAGTATATGCAGTGATTCTATCACACCTAAATTAATTTAGAAAACTAACCAACTCTTCATCTCCAAATCATTTGGTTTTAATTAATTCTAATTAGTAACTCATGAAATATTTACAACACTTTATCCTTGAGGGTTCAGTTCTCTGTGACTCTGGGCAGTTAACAAAGATTTAAACAAAAGTCCAGTGGCCATACCAGAGTAGAACTGAAACAGACAATTCTATCATATCATTCAACCTTCTCCCTGGTAGGTAGCCCAAAAGGACGAGGGAAGGGTGCTGTCTTGAAGGCATGTGAAACTGGATGGGCAGGTGAGGGAGGTAGCATTCTTACTGCTTCAGGAGTGAGGACAGGATTGCAGAAATAGCTTCTTTTGTATCCCAGGCAATTTCACTTCAAGCTAAATAAGGAAACAATTAGTGCTTCTAATTTACCAAAAAGAACTTTATTTACAAGAAAGTCTGTACACTATTTTTACATAAAAATATATAAAATCAAACTAGAAAATACAAAAGTGTTAAAATGTATACAAACACTTTTTAAAAACATGACTTCTGGAAAATCTCAAACTTTCATTTCTTGAAGAGTGTACATTCACTTAAAAATCATCATACAAAATAATTATCAAGGCTATTAAAAAGTACACAGTTTTCTACTGAATAGCTCAGCAACTAGCTTTAAAAGAATTCAGTTCACAGATAATTTAAGAACAAATTTAAACTCATGCATTGTATGCAAAATTGCATTAAGAGAAAGGTAGCTTTGTGCAACTCACTTTTCTTACTTCTTGCTGTAGCTTTCTATTCCCCCTAAAGATCATTCCACCAAGTATCAAACGTACTGAATATTACTAACTACATCTTGGAGAGTTGCAGTGTGAAGTGGAAAATTCAACAGAGAAAGATTCTCAATAAGGGCAATTCTCCTAACACACAGTCTATTATATTCAGTAGATTAAGCCATGACCGAGGCCATTTGTTTTTTCTTGTTTTCCGAAGAGGAGAAGGAAAAGGTTTGTTGCATGAACCAGCCTTTACTTAACCATAAAGGATACTGTCCTTTATTAAGCAACAGAAATTTGCAATATTAAAAAATGTTTAGTTCCATAAACTTTCAAGAAGCATCAGTTACTAAAATCTAAACCAGTTATTAAGGTATTTTTGCTACACCAAAGACAATATTATGACCATCTCTATTTCTATAAAGGAAATTTATTAAAAATTGCCCACAGTGTAATTCATTTATTTCCAAATCATAGAATACCAGGTGAAAAAAGTTGGATATTAAATGGAATTCAATTGATATTTAATTCACCTTTGTAAGCTATAGATGGCTGAGCTTCTGAAGTCTACAAAAAACAGCAATCTGAATCTCCATTGTCAGCTTGTACATGCTCAGCTGGAACACTAGAAAACCACATTGGCATACTGTTTAATATATATCCCTGTGTATTTAAATTAAAATATGGGTTGTAATAAAATTAAATGAGGAACTTTGACCAGCACATTTTTTAAGTGCTCAGTATCACATAGAGCCTGAATATTTTCCAGTAAAGGTAGTCCTGTTTAACAACTGCCTTGTTTGCTTCCTCACACTTACAACTGTTGCAACATCCCACAATTATGTGATTGCCATTTGCTGGCTTCCAACAACTAGAGTCAATGGAGAAAGCCAGCAGTAAATCTGCAAGTTACAATCACACAATATTTGCAGAATAGCTACAGGTGATTCACTTAATGACTGTGGTGTAAATGAGGTTGTAAGCCCCTCATGATCATACGATGTCTTGCATAATGACTGCAATGTTTAGCAACAGTTATGGTTGTTATGCAAGGACTACCTGTACATTCATTTGTATTTTATATTTAATAAGCTGACTTTCTTTTAATAATAATTATTACTAATGCATATATTTTCTTTATTAATACATGCCTTTTTTCAATCTATACATAATACTAATATCTGTTTCAGATATTTGACTTAAAGATGAAAGATATAACCAGAGGGCTGGCATGGTGTCTGACATGGCCCAATTGAAATATGGTGCTATGAAATATAAGTCTGATGCTCTGTGGCTCCAAAACCTCTTCAAGCAAGGCTTTACATTCTGAAATCCAGTTTACCATGGTTTCCTTAAAATTAGTCCAAATTGTTCTGCTTTCTTTTAATAATTCATCTATGAGAAAAAACTAAAACATTGCAAGCACACATTTCACCTCACTACACATATTTACAACTCAGACCTCCCTTTGGCAATATATACCACTGATCCTACTAGACCAGGGGTGTCAAACTGCTGGTCCACGGGCCAGTTGCATCACGAGCAGGCCACGCCCACCCCAATTCCGGCAATGTGAAAAGTCATGATACATCGTGACATGTCATGTGATGCGGCAAGTTTGACACCCATGTATTAGACTATACTTCCAAATAAGTGTGCTTAGGGTTAAAGTTTAAATTCAGTCATTTGGATTAAACTCTAGTCTGGCTATTTTAGACTGTAATTCTCACGATTTCCATTCCAGTAATTAGAGATGATAGAAACTAGAGTCCAAAATACTAGATGACATTTGTCAAGTTTGTACTAACCATAGTTTAATTATCTGGAATGAAAGTATTTATATACGGGCATGAGCACATTTCCCATCCTCCTATGTACTTTATTAAGTTACCAAAGGATCAATTATGTTAAATTTAAATTAAGGTAGTCATCTGCAGCAACAGAGCTAAATTTTTACAATATAATTGTTAGAAAAAATGTTACAGTTTTCTGTTGCTTTGTTAAAGTAAACACTGATAGCATAAGCAAGTAAATTTCACATAATAATCAAAGATTTTGCTTTTAAGAAAACTTCCTCTAAAAGGAACAAAGAACTTCCTTGCTCTGTCCTGGATTGTGGCAACTATCTATCATTTAAACTAACAATAATTTGCATTTTTCAAACATATAGATGTGCAGTAGTGACAAACTACGGAGACTTTAAAGTAAGAAGACTGATCTCATCACTCCACCAGAAAGAAAGAAAACACGGTACAGAAGCCAAGGCTCATTATTGCCTGTTATGTACATGAAATATGATCATATATCTAATTTTAATTAAATTAGTGGAAATTTAGTTGTCCTGTCCTCAGTCATTTACTTCTTTGTTCTTACTTTGCCCACCGTTTGGCAGGCTATCCTGGGACAGCAACTGAAATGGGCAAACATGTTTTTTGGCTTGAAAAAAAATTGTGCATCTTGATTGCCATTATAAAAAGATGTTGAAACTCTAGAAAGAGTGCAAAGAAGAGCACCAAAGATGATCAGGGGACTGTAGGCTGAAAACATATGAAGAATAGTTGCAGGAATTGCGCATATCTAGTTTAATGAAAAGAAAGGCTAGGAATGACATGATAGCAGTGTTCCAATGTCTCAGGGGCTGCCACAAAGAAGAGGAGGTCAGTTAAGCACCTGAAGGCAGGACAAGAAGCAATGGATGGATACTAATCAAGGAGAGAAGCAACCTAGAACTAAGGAGAAACTTCCTGACAGTTAGAACAATTAACCAGGGGAATAAGTTGCTTCCAGAAGTTGTAGGTATTCCAACACTGCAAGTTTTTAAGAAGAGATTGGATAATCATTTGTCTGAAATGGTATAGGGTTTCCTGCCTGACCAGGGGGTTGGAGTAGAAGATCTCCAGGATCCCTTCCAACTCTGCTATTCTGATTTAAAGTATGATTTAAGTGTTACATTTGCTTGTTACATCAACATCAATATTGTCCCCTAGGAATTCAGAGCAATATATACAGCATTATTCTCCAATTTAATTCTCTCTACAACAACTCTTTTGAGGCTAACAACTAGCCCGAAGTCATCCAGGGACTTTCTATACCCGTGGTGGCAAACCTATGGCACGGGTGCCAGAGGCGGCACTCAGAGCCCTCTCTGTGGGCACGTGCGCTGTCACCCCAGTCCTAGGCCTTCAGCTGGGTTTTATAAAACCTTTTCACTTTAGGCCTCCGCTGCTGTGTGCAAAAAAAACAACAAAACGTTTCAATCAGTCAATTTCAATTTCTCGGGGAAGAAAAAAAGATCTCGCCAAGTTGGAATTGATTGATTGAACTTTTTAGTCCCACCCAGTCTGCTGTTACCACCGCAGCCATGACCACTCAATGGGCCACACCCAGCCAATGGGCCACACCCACCTAATGAGCCACACCCACCCAGCACCAGACGATGCATGTGGGTTTTGGGTTGCAGTTTGGGCACTCGGTCTCTAAAAGGTTCGCCATCATTGTTCTATACTAATCCCACTATTATATAACTGAAATGATACTAAATATTTATCTTTCAATTTTTGTAATTGCCTTAAAATTAAGATTAACTTTCTATTTGAAAGTAAATCCTTTTGAGAGTACTAGAATATTATCTTTAGAACTAAACCCAGGAAAACTTTCTGCTGATTACACATTCATAAGAAGGCATTGTTTATATAGGAATAGGGCTATTTGTACTCATTATTAAAAATAATTAAATTTTCAGAGTTCAAGGCAACTCAGGTTTCATCAGAGAAATTGAATCAGAGACTTAACTAAGCAACATTGTGGGTTCTGTGAAAACCACACAGAGCACACAATTCCTCTCCCAAACCACTGAAAAATCTTATCTGGACATCCTTGTCTTCTAAAATTCCAACAAACTGCGATCCTACTTTCAATATACCTTGAAGGTCTAATCTTGAACGTAAGAACTCTTTATCTTTTAACATCATAAAAGCTGAAATTCATAGGAAACTGGATTCTACTTCTAAAGTGGGTTCTACTCTTTTAAAGTGCTCTGGTAGAATCAGAGCACAGATGTTGGATATAAACTATGATAAAAAAAAACAAGATTTCAGAAAGCAAGACTAATGGGAAGACCAATGTTAGCTTAAATATGCCTTCAAATTACATATAAGATTAGAAGAATACAATTTAATGAATATTGTTTTTGTCTAGCAGTGAAAAATTGGCTTAATAGTTAATTCCCTGCAATATACATAAAAAACATTTCAGTTTCACCATTTGAAGGCATTATTTATAAAAAATCGAGAGCACCACATTAAAAAATTCACAGTGAAAAGTATAGGTTATAAAATAACAGAAAATGAATCATTTACCAAAAGAATTGAGTGCAGCTTTTCACCTGTATCGATATCAATACAGAGATGAGTGAGGCTATAAGTGTCTTTGTGTCAACTGAAACTTACCTTTCCAATCAATTCCTACCTTTTAAAAAACATTACAGGTAGATCTTGACCTACAATCATTCATTTAATGACCAAAGTTACAATGGCACTGAAAAAGTGATTTATGACCAGTTCTCACACTTATGACCATTGCAACATTCCCACAGTCACCCAATAAAACTTCAGGCGCTTGGCAACTAGCCTGTATTTATGAGGGTTGCAGTTACCCAGGATCCTGGGACTGTCATTTGCAAGTCAATGAGGGAAGCCAAATTTGCTTAACAAGTACATGATTCACTTAACTGTAGCAATTCATTTAACAAGCATGGCAAAAAAGGTCATAAAATGGGACATGACTTACTTAACAACTGCCTTGCTCAGCAGCGGAAATGTTGGGTTCAGTTGTGGCTGTAAGTCAAGGGCTACCTGTATTTGCTTTTTAAAGCAGCAAATAAAGCAAACTCTTAAATAGAATTTACATGCGTTTGTGAGATTTTTGACTAAATTACAGTACAAATGTTAATAATGCAGTATTTATAGATAAACCAAAATGCATGTGCACTCTGCTCTCTCCCCCCTCTTTGTATATATAGTAAGATGACCTAAAACTATACACATTCTATTTAACATTTAGTTCACATTCATTTACTGTCTCAAAAGAAATAAACTTCCAATAATCTATTATTCATTCTGCTATTCACAACATTTTAAGAATTAGTAAGATAGAATGAGGAAGAAGAGAGTGGCGTACTACTATCTTCCTATTCTTTTTCTCGTATTTCTTCCCTCAGATTACATAGGACTAAAATACATACATTTACATTTCTCTTGTAAAACCAATAATCTCAAAATAAGAGCCAAAAATATGCATATATTTCTAAACTTTACAGCCTAAGGCTATTGTAATTGATAGAATAAACAACCACAACTTAAATTGTAGAAGTTGTTGCACTGGAATATTTGAAAAAGTGAGATAAGAAACAAAGTTTAGTTGAAAAATAGGATCTTGGCATCCATAAGTTTGTGCTAGTCCGTATTTGGAAAACAACCAATACTTGGGAAAAGTCCATTTGGCACTATGCACTGAATAAAAATCCTTGAAGGAATATCAAATGACACTTGGTTAAACTGACTGCTCAAGGTATACTGCCATGTATCAAATTATAGTTTTTTAAATAATAAAGTATGCTTTGTCTGATTATTGGTAAAAACCAGCAGGTGCACACAAATGGAATTTTTCCCCAAACCCAGCTGAGTGCACATATTAAAAAGAGTTCATCTAAAGAAAAGAATGTATAGTTGGTCATTTTTTTTAATCAGGCCTGCTTATGATTCAGCACATACCATAATAATGTGTACTATGTAAATTATTTTAGTTAATACATAGTAGTGTTTCCAGCTTTTTTAAAAAGTGTTTCTTATGTAGTTCTGAAACCCCAACTTTGTTCATCTTGACCCAAACTAATTTTTAAAAAGTTACAATTTTAGTCAGGGTACAAAGTACATATTTTTGGTAATGCCAAATATTTACTTGCAATTAGGCCAGGCAGCTCAATAGATCTTCATATTTAAGAAAATGGTTAGTTAATGCCCAAATATTGGATTCAGAGGAAGTCTCTATCTCCATAGGAGCCTATAATCTTTAAGCTCTGCATCTGAACTTCCCTGAGGCATCAACTTGTTTGTTTTTGGAATAAAAATGGATGATTGATTAGATATAGTTTGTTGAAATAAACATTTTCCAATGATCCATATCAGTATCAGTTTCTATATCTATTTCCCCTGTTCGGAACCTAGACAAATGATCAAAGGTAAAAGCAGCACTTGAATATTTGTCAAATGGTGTAAAATGCTTCACAGCAAGCAACCCACTTCACCATTCTCTGATCCATCTAATCCAATACTTATTGGCAATGGTTGAAATTTTTTTTCTTAGCCTTAGCTGGAGATGCTGGAATTTAACTTGGAATCTCCTGCACACAAACCATGTTCTTTTCCACTGTGCAGGGTGTTTTTGCCCCTGCGGATTTTTAGAGAGTTTTTTGGCTAATGCATTAGGTCAAAATAATAAACTGTTTTCTGAAATAATAGGTAGTTTCTCTCTTGTCACTCTTTTCTATCTATCTATAAATCTATCTATATATTTAATCAAATAGAGTCTCAATGCATTTGAAAATAGACTAGCACAAATACCTGTAAGATTGGGATGCCATATTCTAGCATAAATAACAAAAAATATGGCTCATTGTATTAAATACACATCCAGTTTTTGTTCTTTTTGATTGTTCTTTTTTAATTTTTTAGAAGAGGGAAAGGATAGAAATCCTAGGCTATGAACTTTTCGCTATCATTCCATTTTTATTTTTGTTCTAAGAATTGTTTTATTGTATTACAATAAACTAATACTATGCTTCATTAAAAGGCTTTAATCTGACACATGTAAGTAGAAATGTTTGATGTTTTCTGGCAGACCACACATAAATACTCAAATTTATTTTCACTATATTTTGCATTTCTCAAAAAGCTACATCTTTAAAAAAAACCTTGCAAAGAAAAAATGTGGCCCTAGAAACAAGAATTTCTATCATGCCTGCTACTTAACTACACATTGTAGATTTAACACTGGTTAGTCTAGGATCAATTTTTCAAGTATTTCTGCTATTTATCAGTCTGACTATAGCACCTTATTGCACACTGTTTGAGAAATGTATCATTCTTATGGGAACCAGAATCGTCGTCGGCATCTCACTGACCTAAACCCTGGTAAAATCACTTTCCCTTTCCGATACAAATCCTCCTTGATTCCTGTGTTCATCCTCTGCACCAGCAGTTTCTCATAAAGCAAAGGGTGATAAGCCCCCAAGGTACAAGCTGCATCATGGTAGAGTTCATGGTAGTGGCAAAGATCAGTTTGTCGGATGGAGGGAATATATTCGTAGACATGGACTTCACTGCACATGGACATCATGATGAAAATCCCTAAAAATGAAGTACATACATAACTGCAGTTTTGTCACAGACTGTAATATGCACTTACAATATCAACTCAATGACTATGGAGATTCTCAGTCATCCAGGTCATAATTGTTCCAAATATGCTTCTTGATGAGGGAATTAGACTTTCTTGTTTTTCTTTGAAGACATTTTGCTTCTCATCCAAGAAGCTTCTTCAGCTCTGACTGGATGGTGGGAAATGGAAGGATTAATACTCCTTGCAGACAGCTGGTCATTTGCATTCTTTTAGAGAGTCATTGAGGCCACTTGGAGGCTTGTCTGTGTCATCAGGGTCACCTGAATAGTGCAAATGGCTGTGGAGCCTTCTTAGAGTTGTTGAAAGAACTGTATTGTAGACTGGAGATAGATGATGTATGTTGCTCAGTTGTGTCTGGGTATTTTATCCTTGGGGTGGACAAGGTTCTGCCTTAGTGTATTCTTGGGTTTGAAGTGTGCATGTATGTTGTGTTGGCTGAAGATCCTCCTGAGCTTTTCCGATATTGCTGCGCCATATGGAATGACTATGTTTCTTCCTTTATTTTCCTTTGTCTATTATGGAGAAGTTCATGCTGGGTCTTTTTTGGGATTTGATGAAGGTCCGCTTGGGAGAGCTGCAAGTTCTGAGAGCTTCCTTGATGTGTTTTAGTTCTTTTTCTTTCCCATCTTTGCTGGTAGGCAGACCTTCCTATCTCCAGTCTACAACACAGTCCTATCAGCAGTTCCAAGAAGGCTCCACACCCATTTGCACTACTTAGTGACCTTGAGGATACAGATAAACCTCCAGATGGCTCAACCACTCTCTAAAAGAATGCAAATGACCAGCTGCCTGCAAGGAGTATAAACCCTTCCATTCTCCACCATCCAGTCACAGCTGAACAAGATTCTTGGATGAGAAGCGAAACGTCTTCAAAGAAAAACAAGAAAGTCCAGTTGCCTTGTGAAAAAGCATCTTTGGGATAATATCAAATCCCTTTTTCTTTTCATGGCTGCATATACAAATGTCAAATCAAACACTTCTAAATGGAATTGGCTTTCACAAACATAAAGTAAAAACATTTTACCATACCTATTACTAATATATAGTTTGGTTACCAGGACAAAATCATGCTCCAACCCAGTTATAATAGCAACTATCAGAAACCAGAGTCACCAACACATCTGGATGATGCTAAATTTGGGAGCATGAAGTACTATATAAGCATAAAAATAACATAATTGTTTATTAGAATGAAAAGTAGAATATGATATTAAATTCTGTGCTACAAAATAAGCACAATCATTTGATTGTTAAAACAAATGTAGCAAATCTCTGCATTATTTTTAATCAATAAGGCATTCAATTTTCTCATCTGACTTTAAAGATAAACGTGATCCAGTAAAATGTTGAACTTTTGAAAAGGGCATAGTGCTCCCATTGCATGTACTGTCTTTATATAGGCATTTCCTTCAAATACCTATAAATCTTCTGAATAAAGAAGCCTCCGATTTACAACTGGTTGCTTAGCTTTCAAAGTTATTTTCTATTTTTATTTTATTAAACAAAAGTTAAAATAAAAAACCTCCAAAAATTTAAAAAACAACAAAAAACACAAAACAAGCAAGACATTTAAAAAGTGCATTAAAAAAACCACAAACTCATATACACATATTATCCTCTCCATTTGAATACTGATAAATATATTACAACAATATTGGTTTCCACCCCTTTCCACTCAATTTTTTAAAAACTATTAATTCTATTTGCAGATTATTAACCTGTGATCTATCTACTATATTAATGACAAAACAGTTAACAGGTAAAACAATAATAAAAAAGCAAAATTAAAACTTAAAAATCCTCTGTGAATGAACTTTTATTGTATTCAATTTGTAGAAAGTTTACCACTGCTTCTTATCTATCCCAAATCTCCTGCTTAGCTTTCAAAGTTATGATGGACCTTTTTCAGAGGTACTTATGACTCAATTCCAAACTTTCAATGGCTGCCCAACCTGATGGTTACATGACCACATTTTGAGTGCTTGGCAATTGGACTGCATTTATGGCAATTTGCAGAGTCCCATGCAGTGGTGGGATTCAGCCAGTTTGCAGCACTTCGGTAGCTAATTTTTTGTTGCCCAGGCCCAGAATGAACTTCCGGAAGCAGCATCCATACAGAGAACCAGTTGTTCACATATTTGAATCCCACCACTGATACAGACTCTATTCTCATTAAAGCACAGTTGACTTTGTTATATTCATAGGATCTTACTTACAACCTGGCTATATAAAACAAACAAAAATAGATTCTCATATTTGAATCCCACCACTGGTCCCATGGTCATGCAACTGTGTTTTTTTATGTTTCTGCAGAAAAGCAGCCCATAACCAACAATTGGTTTGCTTAACTGCTGCAAAAAAGATTGTAAAATTAGGTTGGCCACAGGGTGACCCTCTGTATAACTATCACAACCTATGACTGAAATGGGCAGGCTCCATTACAGTTGTAACGTGAGGACTACTTGTATGTAAACAATTATGCTTTGAATTTAAACTATGATAAAAACAAAGATATGGAAAAATAAAGTTTAACCCATCTGTTTATAATCCAGTTGGATATCAGTACATGGAAAAGTGCCTGAATTGCCTTTTCTTTAAGAATGCAGCAACATTTGCTGACAGTGAATAACAATAGCATTTAGACTTATATACCGCTTCACAGAGCTTTACAGCCCTCTCTAAGCAGTTTACAGAGTCAGCATATTGCCCCCAATAATCTGGGTCCTCATTTTACCGACCTCAGAAGGATGGAAAGCTGAGTCAACGTTGAACTGGTGAGAATCAAACTGTCAAACTGCTGGCAGTGGCAGGCAGCACAACTGCTCCTTTTTCTTCCAATATTTTTTTATTTTTATTAACAAAATTAAAATACAAACTCAGAAACATAAAAAATGCAAGAACAAAGCAAAGCTAAAAAGACATTAAAAGTGCATAAAAAACAACAACACATATAAATGGATTGTCCTTCATAACTGAATACTGATAAATATATTTCAAGAATAATAACATTTCCTGACAGTGAATGCAACTTGCTAACAGCTGCTCCTTTCTGTAGCAGCTCAGGTGATGGACATATCCACTTTATGACAGCGGATGAAAGAACTTTGGAAGTGCTCTGCTGATTGGACCTCTGGCCCATCTAACCCAGTAATACCTTCACATAGTAGCTAACCAATTACCCAATGACGCCCATGTCATTCATTCATTCAGAATGTAGGCAATAGTGATTCGACAGGTTCCATACTCAGAGGACCAATTCTTTTTGGCTTCTTGGATGAACTCTAGATGAATGAATTGACTTCCAAGGCTTTCTTGGTTCTTTCTTATGTTCCAGGAATGATGGCTATGAAAATTGTATAGAGGACCTCCGAGGGCTATCTAGATCTTGCTTTAATTAGCCTATCTACCTTAAGATGACAATGTTTCAGGGTTAGATTTTGTTGCCAAGGCTGTAGATTGGCTAAGATGCCCGGGGGGGGGAGGGGATTCAGGGATCAACATCATAGTCTGACAATATCTGGAGGCTGCAGAAAGGCAATTCGTTTGTTTAAGGAGTTTTCCACACTGCAGACTTAAGATGCTTGAGTCCCATGTGTAAACTAGCTGGAAATAAAACTGGTTTAAGAAACCCCTTTCTGGATTTCAATTCCTTCCCCAGCTTTGTAATTAGAGCTTCAAAGTGATTTTCTGCTTTTTTATTTTTATAATATCATCAGACCTGTAAGACAGAGTTATGGGGGAGTGCACACTCATGTATCTGCTTATGTAAACAAACCAAGGGTCTCCTAGCTACAGTATGTTAAAAATAAAGGGAGGAAAAACTTCATAAGGAGGTCTTTATGTGCTGAAGGTTCAATTCCAGAAGACCAAAGTATAATAAGGAGGCTCTGAAGGCTACTTCTTTTTCACTGCTATTACAACAATAGGCCTGGGCCTCTGACCTTCTTAGTCATCACATAGTATCTCTTCCAGATGAGAAGAGGGCTGCTGCTGTTTTTCGTGGCTCTGCTGATATGGACCAAGGTGATTACTGAAATGTTTTTCATTTCATTCATATACTGATTCAACATACAATTTAGCAAAAATAAAAATAAAAAAAAAATCAGTAGAGTCCCCACCACTGGAGGTTGTTAAATGTAGCCACCTGTTAAGCATGCATATAATCCTGGTTGGGCTATGATAATCTTTCAATGTATGCCTTATGTCAGAGGTCCCAACCTCCAGGTCCATGGACCGGCACCATTCTGCGGCATGTCAGAAACTGGGCCGCACAAAGAAGCAAAGCCCCATGGGATGCAGGAAGCATTCAAAACCACACCCCCTCAAGTCCGCAGAAAAAATTCTCTCCACGAAACCAGTCCCTGGTGCCCAAAAGATTGGGGGCCGCTGCCTTGTGTGATTCCTTTAACATGTATGTAACCATTGAATATTTTCAGGCAGATTATCTCTCTCTCTCTCTCTCTGAGAAGATTTGTATGGAGTGTAGCATAAATAATATAACAACTGTTAATTTTCTTGCAGTTGAGCTATCCAAACTCTCCCTTTTGCAAAATATAAAGCAGCAATATAATTTCTAATACTTTAATGCCTACAATACCATATTTGCAAATATTTAATGTTCATTGCTCAGTGAAGTTTAATCAACTGAAAATTTAATATTTATTTTAAATGATTTAATCCTTTGTTGGAACAATTTGTATTGTTCCTCTTCTTCCTGTTCTGCAGACAATGTTGTAATATTTACATATAGCAAAGCTATAAAAAGCCACTGTTTCTTTTTAAATTCAAATATGGCATTTTACAATTGCTCTGCAAATGCTCTGAATACTTTATCATAAAAGATAAGTTTTTATAAAGTTATAATGCATTCTCTAGAATACAAAAAGCATCTTTTTTTTCTAACGGATAATTTAACCCTAAAAATAAAGATTGTCAACATTGTGAAATG